CTCCCTCTCTCCCTCTGCTACAGCCAGCAGCTACAACACTTGCACTCCAAAAGAAGAAGAAGAAAAAAAGAAAGTTCAAAGATTTGCTGTGAGTTTTACCAGTGAAATATACTGCGACAGCGTGAGAAGAGCAACTCTTCCCTCGCCAAACCCCGCGCTGTTCATCCACATCAGCCTCAGTGCTGAACACGGGGAGACAAAAAGAGCTTTTTAGTTTCAAAGATGCTGATAATCAGACTTCCTTTATTTTTATTTTTCAGTTTTATTTTGAAGCAAAAACATTAATAAAAAGCAGATTTAAAAAAACGGTTCATTTGCTTCACAGAAACTTGACTTTAAAAAGGTTTTGGACAGTTTTAAGCTGTATGGATTTTCCCGTTCCGCCTCTTGGCTGCTACAGTAGCTGGCTGCGGGCGGATTAAAACTGGAGTTAAGATACAGATCTGGAGTTGATGAGTTTCTAGCTGCCTGTCTGTCCGCCTACCTGTCTGTCTGTGATGCCGTGTCTGTGTGAGTCGGGCCTGATTCCAGAGCGGTGATAGGATAGGTCACGGCCTGCTGGCTGGCTCCAGCGGCGCAGGAGAGAGAGAGAAGGAGGAAAAGACAGAGATATGGAAAAGAGGAGGACGGCAGGGGGAGCAGGTTGAAGGAGAGGGTGTGTGTGTTCATGTGTCAGGTTGTGTGTTTGTGATGACGGTGTGTGAGATAAGGCAGAATGGGGGGGGGGGGGGGGGGAGGGGGGGGGGGGGGGGGGGGGGGGGGATAAGATGTGCTGAAGGCTGGATAAGCTGCACCTGGTTTGAGAGAGAAAATAAAAGATAAGAACACACAAAGAGAGATGTGGGGAAAAGGGGAGGTGGCAGGTCGCAGGAGTGTGTGTGTGTGTGTCTGTGTGTGTGTGTTAAGCTTCCGATATCTACCTACTGTCTCCTACTTCTCCTCGCCCGCAGTCTCCCTCGCTAACCGCCCTCTTCCTCTTCACTCTCTCCTCTTTCTCTTTTTTGACAATGAGCCGACAGCAAAGAACAAAAGAAGACATAATACATGCAAGCCCTCCTCTCTCTGCAGTCAGGAAGGAGAGGAGGAGGAGGAGGAGACAGGAAAGAGGAGAGAGGTATGAGTAAGGCGCAACATGCAAGGCAATTGTCGTAATCAAATTATATAAAATAAAAAAGGAATAAATAAAAATAAGCTGTGTGGTTGCTCCAGAAATGTCAAACTTATGAAAGGAAGGTGAATCAGTGGGTGAGTTCCTGGATGTGAAATGGTATGAAAAAAAAAAGAGTTTTATTCATGATCACAGACCAAAGTTTTCAAAATGTGCAGACAAACAAGCCTTCTGCTGTTGTTGTCTTACTGACTTTCTGCACTAATAAGACAAGGTGACATTGAAAACAAAAACCCTCAGGTGACTCTGTGCTTCATCTCTTACCAACAACTGTTGCGCCGTCCTGTTTCCAGACTCTCTCTGTTGTCTTTAATCTGGACGCAGCGACCTGGAACTGCACTCGTAACGTATGTTTGGACCATAATTAGTTGGAACCAAGAGCAACGACCGATCACTTCAGAATTTAAAGTGTGCTGTTTAAAGTAATATCTCTTCTACTTGATTTAAAAACAAAAACAAACCGTAGAGATGTTGGCAAACTGCTACTTTAACCAGTAGCAGCTACATCTAAGTAGAAGTCATTTTAAGTTCATATAGTGAGATATTAGATTAAAGGTTAGTTCTTTACTTAATGCACTTTTAAGTAAAGTTAAGTAAACCTGAGCCTGGTTCTTCCTGTTAAAAGGGAGTTTTTCCTTCCCACTGTCACCAAAGTGCTTGGTCACAGGGGCTCATATGATTCTTAGGTTTTTCTCTGTATGTATTATTGTAGGGTCTACCTTACAATATAAAGCACCTTGAGGCGACTGTTGTTGTGATTTGGAGCTGTATAAATAAAATTGAATTAAATTGAATTAAAAATAAACAACACGGCCACATATGCTAATTTGTCGCATCTTTCAATAGGAGCTTAGGTGGTTTCAGTCGACCAGAATGATTACTTTTATTTTGTTCTTGATTCTCTTTGGGATATAAATTCTTTGGACTGTTCACTGTGATGAACGAGTTATCCGCTCCCTCCGCTGCTTCATCTTCAGTTGTATAAACTCCAACATTATCACTCATACAGTGAGTGCTGCAGTTTATTTCCCTGGTTAACAAACTGGTACAAATGTGAGGCTAATGCTCCAGTTTGAGCTGTTTTTAGCTAAAACAGTTGTAGCTGTAGTGGTTTCATATTTGTATTTTGTACGCTGAAAAGTTTGCTCAGCAGAGGGTTGTCCTGTGCTTCCCATTTGGCTATTATTGTCTGAAAGCAGGCTAGCGGCAAAGAATTCAGACACTGGAAAGAACAGACTGGACAAAAACTGTTGAAGTAGTTAGAGGAACCCCAAAGGTTAGCCAGATTGTTTGAGCCAACTTTTTCTTAGCAAATATGTTCACACACAACACTATTAATGTTACCAGCCATGCAGTTCATTCACATAAACAGTCTTTTTTTTTTCAGCTCATTTGGTTTGAATGATGTTGACACAAAGGTGCAGTGGTTAGCACAAAACTTCCTTGTTCGAGACTGGAGGTGGAGTTTGCACGTTCTCCGGGTTCCTCCCACAGTCCATAGACATGCGTCTCAGGTTAACAGGTTGATATGGTCTCTCTCTAAGAGATAGACAGGTGACCTGTCTGGATGTTCACCCCATTATTACACAGATGCTTGTTAAAAATCTAACCTGCAGGAGTCCTGCTGCAGATATAAAGAGGAATGACTTAACCTTCTGAACTCTTTCATGGCATGCATTTTTAATTTCTCTTTGCTATTTGGGCTGATTGGGACCTGATGAATGTAAAAACAAAGAATTACCAGATATTTTTTTAACCTGATTTTTGTTTCTGAGAAAAATGAGATCCACATATAAGGACATTCATTTAAAATTTTGATAGATCAGTGGCACTATAATGTCTTCTTAAGTAGATATCAGGCCCTTGTAGAGCAAAAATAGTATTTTGGTCTAGACAACCCAAAATGTGATGTCCACATATGTGGACGCCAGGTCCTAGGAGGTTAAGAAAGCAAAAGTAATTACGCTTACATACAGATTTAACTGGCTAATTTGTGGATTGTATAGCATCAACAGGATTGCACTGGTTTTCCCTTTGCCTTACTTACACCAGATAATTAATGGTTGCTGATTATTACACATAATAGAGGACTCCACACACACACACACATGCAGTGATCACACCCGGCCAGCGATTTCAGCTGCGGTAATTAAAGAAGCGTTAGCAGTGAGTGAATAAAACATGCATCAATCCCTCTTCCCTTCATTCGAACCCCCTCCTCCATCTTTTTTTTTCACTGTCTGTTCCTTTCTGTTTCCCCCACCCTGATGTAATTCTCTGGCATCTTCCTTTCCTCCAGTTCATCTGCCCCCCACCCAGTATTATTGCGCTGCTTTCCTCATCTCCTTCCTTGTTCCTGCTCTTGCTCTTTTCTGCCCTCATTTCCTCCTTTATCATAGTCTCCCTCCTCTTACTCTTCGCCTCCTCCCATCAGACTCCAGCCTCTCCTCTCTAGCATTCCCCAGAGATGAACCAATGTGTGCAAGCTGTTGCAGCAGGAGCAGTACAGGTGTAGATAGAGCTATCGTGGTGGGGATGTACTTGGAAACATGTCGTTTTTTGCACGCGCATACACACACACACCTTGTAGGCACTGCAGGTGCTGCATCAAGATAAATGAGCCGTCATTAGCCAATCAGGTCAGCCGGTGGGAGGGCGATGGAATACCGAGAAACGAGATCAGCTAGTGGAGGTCAAGCCTCTGACAGGAGGGATGTGTCTATTTATGTGTGTGTGTGTGCGCTGCATGGTGAAAGTGAGAAGGAGGATTCCCTGATTAGATGTGAGCAAAGTTTTCTTCTCCTCCTGCTTTTTACTGCTCAAACTTCCCCTTCCTTCTTCTGTTACTGTCTCCCCCAACCCTCCCTCTCCCCACCAGCACTGCTCTGGGAAAGTTGAGCGTTGCTGAAGATTGTTGCACTGCAATTTGACGGCCTAATTGGTATCTGCGGCCGGTTGTTTATCTCTTCATGGTGACTCGGTGCAGTGAAGGAGACAGCGATTGAGGAGGAATTTAAAAGCGTTTCAAAAGTCTTGTTTGCACCTCTGAATTTCTGCTGGAGGGAGAAGCTGATGTCATATTGTG